TTTTTTTTTTTTTTTTTTTCCGCTTTTTTTGTTTATTTCTTCAATGTGTGTCTTTGTTTTGCTGTGGTTTATGTCCCATTCCTTGGAAGAACTCTTCACTGATGCGTTAACATTGTGTGCAGACATTTGGGTGCTTTCTCCGGAAGTAGGATCACCATGCTTCTCTTCTTCCTCTGCGTAGACACCACAGAACAAGTCATTTTCCGATTTGAATGAGTTATAATATTTGTTTCTCATGTCGACGATCATTCTTCCACTGTTATATTCGAGCGTAGAATTTTCACTCGTGGAGGTGTTCCCTGGAGAGTTATCGCAAGTGGAATTGTCGTTCGTGGAGTTGTTAGCCGATATGCCCTCTGCAGTGCTCATGCTGCTTGTACGTCCAAGTGGTGCCCTCACAACACCCCCGTGATGCCTCACCGATACGTCCTTCACATAACCACCAGCACAATGAAGATAGGAAAACAAACAGGCGTTTTTTAAAAACTCATAAATGATAAAAACGAATGGGTATCGAATAGACACTCCCATCATTAAGGCGATGTTTCCATGTCTCAATAGGTGTAGTTTGTAAAAAATTTTGTGAATTTCAGAAAAATCTTTTACTCTCCCTACTAGCACTTTAATAGCTACGTCTTTGCCTAAGTACTTTCCTCTAAAAGTTCTACTACCCATATTTGTACCGTTTTTTAAATACCCTTTCTTCATGCTTTTAAATTTGTTCTGCTTGCTACTCATTGTGAGCAGGTTCTGCTCGAGGTTCTTCCCCGCGTTGTCGCATCTACCTGTTCCAATATCATAATGGTTCCGAATCAGACGCAGGAACGTTAAGTCCTCGTGTGGTATTATAAAGCTGTAGAGGTAGGAGAAGGCCAAGTTGCTGTTCAGGTAGATGCTGCTGGGGTACTTAATTATTTGGCTGCAACCGTAAAAGGGGGCGTCTTCGGTTCTGTTCGAGCAGTACGAAGAGGAGGACACGGAGGAGGTGGAAGTATGGGGGGAAGTGTCCAGGGAAGATGACCCAGAAGAAGAGGAAGAGGTGGAGGCAACAAAAAATTCTAACTCTGCTGACGACGTGCGCATCGAGTGTTCTCCCCCTTTGGTCTCCTCTTCACAAGTGGACACTCTAGATGCGTTGGACTCGCCAGATTCTTCAGACGAAAGGTTGGAGCGAGTCGATTGGGAAGAAGTACTCGTAATAGAAAAGGATGATAAGGAGCAGGAAGCATACGCGTCCTCCTTTTGGTCACCGGATACGGCACGGTTTCCCCCTTCCGGCGAATAGGCCTTGGAGCTACCCCCATTGAATGTATGGCCAAAATCATTTATTAGGGAAAAGTTTTTATGGAAGCTACGAATGAATTGTTCTTTCTGTTTTTTTTTATCTTTTCGCCTTTGCTTATTGGTATCCTTCTGCGGGACGTCTGGTCTTGGGGGTTCCTCCTTTTCTTTGGGGGTTCTCATCTCGCCCACATATTGCTGCTTCTTATGCTGCTGCTGATGATGCTCCTGCTCTGCATTCACTTCTCCCAGTTCCTCCCTCTTCCCGTAGCCCTCCTCCTTCAAAGTGCACGTCGAATTGAAAGACGTGGTGGACGTGCACGAGTTGGGGTCCTCCTCATCGTATACTGCATCTTCACTGTGCAGCATTTTTTTGGTGAACACGACTGCCTCCTGTTCTCCAGGGGGGACATTACTGGTGGGGGGTTCCCCGAGGGTGAGCTTATGTTCGCACTGTTGGCTCGAATTTGACGGAAGGTGAAACATGTGCACCTTCTTCCCTTTTGGTTTACTTCCGCTAAGGTTGTCGCTTCCACTAAGACTTCCCCCTCGGGGGCCATATTTTGCGTGTATTTTTTTTTTTTTTTTTTTTTTCTCTTCAGAAAATGTTCACACTCCTGTATGTTAACACACCTGGCGAACCTCTTATTGTAAGCCATGACACGCAAATTTTTAATTAACTGAAGCAGTTTGATCGCATGTCCGTATGGGAGTATCCCCATCTGATTTCTAATAACTTCTATGTTAATCTTATCTAGCATACGGCCTGTAACATTACTTCTGTAAAAAGCAGTGATCCATTTGATGGGGGCATTACACAGGGAGAGCCATTGAGCAACTTCCTTCCTGGACCATGATTCATATTTTTCTATCTTAAGACTACTGCTATTCTGTTTGGTTAATTGTTTAATCATATGTTTTGTTTTCCTTTCCTCCTTTCTTATTGATGTATGGGTGATAATCTTTAGGTCCTTTCGAGTGGTGTTTTCACACTGCTCATATGTGTCTCTGTAGCATTTTTTTTTTTTCCCCAATTTTACGAAATGGGGGCGGATAAAATGACTACATGAGTCGGAAGACGTGAAAAATATGTTCTTCAAGATGTTCTTTTTCTTTAACTGTTTGTTAATTTTTTTTTTCTTCAGGCCATCCACTGCACTGTTGGCTTCGTCGTGCGAGTCTTCTATGGTGACTTGGAGTTGGTCCATCAGTGGGCTTCCTATGGCGGAATCTGCACGATGTCCATTTTGCCGACTTGCAATTCTGCCCTGTTGAATTGTCCCAAGTGGCAAAACGCAACCAGGTCTGCTCACTGGTAACATAGAGCCACATCCTTTATCATCACCCTCCACAGTACACATATCTGAACGATCAATTCTATTGTTTGTGTCCACACTGTGGGTTTCTCCCTCCTCTGGAGTTGTCCTTTTTGGATCTCCACGCAAACTACGCTGGGGTTTCGGGCCACGCCGATACACTGTGCATGACTCAATAAACCCATTAGAATAAAAAAAGGAAAACGCCTTGTCTGTATGGAAGGGCTTGACTTTCAACTCTCCCTCAATCCTATCATGGACCCAGTTGCAAATATATTTTGTTAATTTTTTATCTATGTATATTCCTATGCCATTTTTCTTTCCGTTTGTGAAGAAGCCATAAAATGCTGCACCCCACTTATATAGAATGAGTCCCTTGCCGTGTGGTATGCTTTGGCTATTCAGTTCTCCAAAGTAGCGGCAGTTGCTGAACTCTAGCCCCTTTATCGGCTTGCTGTCTGGGGAGTTCCCCATGCTTCACGCAGGTGGGGGGAGGTAGCAGCAACTGGGGCGGGGTTCAACGCGATGTGACGTGCACTTGTACAACTTTGTTCTGCAAAAAATGCCACTAATTACGCTGCGACCTGGCTTATGCCCTGGGGAGTTTCTTGTACATTCGGGGCGCAAAAAAAAAAAAACATAAAAAAAAAAAAAATGCTGCGCACAACACGTAACAAGGAATACACTTTACTGCCACAGCGAGCTAAGCCTGAAAACAAGGACGAACACTGTTCGAGTCATTTGGGCGCAGCCCTTACACATAGGGAATAAACGGGCTGAGAGTCCACAAAGGGGGCACAAAAAAAAGGGCGTACAAAAAAAAAATAATGTGGTACAATATCGTGCGAAATGTTCTTCACAAAAAGGGAGGTACCCACGGGAGCAAACCCAATACACATGTAACGTTAAAGCGTATGTGCATGTGTCGCTTTTTTTTTTTTTTTTCTTCTTTTTTACAAACACGCGGGGGCTTAGCGGCAGGTTAACCTGCGACAGTTACACGTGTGTTGTACACTCGAATTTGTTGCCGCTCAGATTGGAGAAGGGGGTAGGTTTTCTCTCACTCCACATGTAATAATACAGTGTTACAAATATGAAGGCTTAAGGCATAGCTTGCACTTCTTTGTGAGCCCTGCGTAAGAGGTACTCTTAGAAGTTGTAATTTGAACAGGCAAAGCAGAAGAAATGAAAAATGCTGGATATGTCGTTCAAATTACGACATTTTAGTTTCTCTTCGAGGACTCTCCATTAGGAAAAACGCACCTAGAAAAAAGAAACGCCTTTGCGGGGTGCCTTTCTCACCTGGCGCCTATAAATTAATGGCGACACTGATTAATCTTATGTGCATGCGATTGAGCGCCTAACCCCCCTGGGCATTTAACAAGCACCGTTTTTTTTTTTTTTTTTTTTTTTTGTTTTTGCAGAACATTTTTTGGAAGCCTTGCTTGGTGCAGTTAGCCTTTTGTTTATTCTCCTTCTATACTCACTTTTTGCTGACTTCATTCTCAGTTCATTCTCACTTCATGCTGAGTGTATCCTTACCGTTTGTTCCTTCTCTGCCCTTGTTGGAGCAGCTCAGTTAGGCCTTGTCCCAAGGGGAAATTCCTCCAAGGGCCTCAACGTTGGTGTAGTCCCGGAGTGCCACAAGGACGCTGGGCACATGTGCTCGTAAACGTTGTGTAAGTATATTCTTCTTTTGTAAGAATACCGTGACCAGGGGATCATTTTTTTTTTGCTCGCTTCCCCATTATGAGCATAAGGTGAACCAAGCGCTTGTCGTTTTTTGTTGCCACCTTTTGGGTACTTCCGAGTGGAAGATTGGCCAAAGGTAGTGGCCTCAAGCGTACATACGTACACGCAATATCTAAACGCGTACGCATTATCACGTGCTAAGTGGAGGGAGCGTGACCGGCCGCACACACTCACCACTGTACTTAGAGGCAACCGCGCATACATTCATACGTGTGTACGCCTCCTGACGAGAAGCAGAATGATGGCGAAGCAGGACGAGGTGGCCACGATGGCGACGCGGGAAAGGGCGGCCACGCGGCGAAAGTCACGCAGACCGCGTGGAAGAATCCTGGACAAATTTGAGGAGCTCATAAAGTTGGAGAATATATACGAAATGAAGGAAATAGAAATGTGCTACGAGCATCTTAACAAAGAGGAGCTCATCGAAAAGGGAATTCTACTAAACGATCTTACCATCAAAACAGCCACGAAATATAATGACAATCAGAATGCATACATTGTGAAGTTGGTTAAAAGAAAAAAAAACACAAAGTCAAATGACTTAAGTGATGAGGAAAATGTAGAAAATTTTAATCACAATATGTTTAGTAAGGGAAGCATTGTACATTTCTCGAAGAAGAGGAAAAGATACTGCCTGAACAAGGAGCACACCGTTGTACATAAAAATGCAGTGATCAAAGATGCTGTTAATATATATGTATGTACTGTTCATAAAGTAAAGAAAAATCAAATTAGCGTTATTGTTAGACATGCAGAAGAGTTATGTAAGGAGCTAAACATAAGTAGCACTTACTTGCTGGCCGATAAGAGCTACTTCGATGTGTGTCTTGTTAATAGCGAAATTTCTATGCAGCGTCAATTGCAGGCCATTAATTTGATGAAGGCCAGCTTGGAGACTCCGTCTGATGTATTGAAGATCCTCTTTTTTGGAAAGGCCCCTTCCCAGGATGCGTTTCTGCGGCAGATTTTGGGCATCTTCCGGAGGCGAGCCCAGGGGGGGAAGGAGCTACAAGATGGGGAGTTGACACCATCTGGCGAGACAGTAAAAATGGAAAAAGGCTCCCATGCGGATGACCATGCGAATGGGGAACCTCCTGTTAGCTACCCCTCAGCGGAGGATCTAGCCAACGAAGCGAACTACATCCACCAATGCGATAAAGCAGAATGGGGAAACAAAAACCTCAACGACAGTCAGAAGAAAGCGGTGTACTTTTGCCTTTACTCAAAGGATATTTTCTGCGTCCACGGGCCACCAGGGACAGGAAAAACAACGGTGTTGTGCGAACTAATATACCAATTAGTCAAAAGGAACAAAAAAATTCTCGTAACTGGGCCAAGTAATGTCTCAGTGGATAATATTTTGGCCAAATGTGTAAACATGAATATAAAAAATGTAGTTCGAATTGGACTAAAGTCAAAAATAAAAAAAGACTTGTGGAGTTATAGCTACGATGAAAAAATAAAAAGTTGCGATTCGTATAAGTTGTGTGAAGACATTGATCAAGACATAGAAAAAATGAAGACAGAAATTAACAAATTGAAAAATAAAAAAAAACACGAAAAAACCCCATTCGATAGAAAAGGAATTGCAAATTTGAAATACGAAATTAGGATGTTAAATAAAAGTCGAAAGAAAAAAAAAAATATTTTTTTTGCTGAAATAATGAATAAAAACCATGTCATTTTTTCTACCTGTTCAAGTAGCTCAAATTATGAATTAAATAAATATGTGAAAAATACAAATTTTTTGTTTGATGCTGTTTGTATTGATGAGTGTTGTCAGTGCACGGAGCCCTTGTGCTACATGCCTCTATTATTGTCAAGCAAAAATGTGTTCCTGTTCGGGGACCACAAACAGCTAGCCCCCTTGGTGAAACATAATAATAAGGGTAACAAATTAAACGTTACACTTTTCGAGAGACTTATTAAAAAATATAAAAGGAAAATTTCCTTCTTTCTTAAAATACAGTACCGAATGAATGACCTCATTTTGAAATGGTCCAACAAAGTCTTTTATGAGGATCGCCTCGTTTCGCATGACTCCTGCAAGGCTATTACTGTCGACGAGCTGCTTATGCCCAAGACAGGGGAGAGGCATACTGGGCAAGCGGTGAAGCAAACCAGTGAGCGAAAAAAAGATGGAAAGGACAAGCAAAAAAAAATGGGAAAGAAGAAAGATGGAAGGAAGACGAAGGAGGAGAGAGAGAAAGGGCGGGAAGGAGACGAAGAACATGAAAACGCTCAGGTAAACGCAAATTTGAAGGACATGATTCAGAGTTACATTTATTGCCCAATCACTTGGATTGAAACAGACGGGTTCGATGAATTTCTCGATGACACCAAGGAGCTGGACATGATACATCTCGAGATGAAAGAGAAGAATGGAGATAAGGTCGGAGGGAAGATGCCTAGCAAAACGGCGGCAGGGGGCCTTGGCGATAGCAACGGGGGAGGAATAAAACGGCTTGATAATGAAGATCCCCCAGAGGAGGGGTTAAACGACCTTGGTATATATGAGGAGGACCATTTGGAAGAAGCGGATCAAAGTGAGGAAAGCGGCGCAGGGGATGAGGATGTTATTGTGGGAAGTGAGTCATGCTCGGCACGGAGTTCCCATGTGGAGGAGGAGGCAATCGCTGCGGAGAAGGCATTACAGGAAGCCGTCCAAATCGACATTGATGATATTGTAAACCTGAACAACAAGTCTAGAAGCAACAGAGGAGAGGCGTACGTCGTTTACAAGCTCATCGAACGGATGATGCATGCAGACCACATTAGTGCTAAGCACATTTGCGTGATCACTCCATACTCGAAGCAAATGAATTTGCTCAAAAATATTCTTTACGATAATTTATACGATGAAAAAAAATTCACATCAGAATATAAAGATATTGAAATAGCCACTGTGGATTCCTTCCAAGGCAGGGAAAAAGAGATCGTCATTTTATCTCTTGTGTGTTCTAATTATTTTAAGAACATTGGATTCTTGAAGGACTACCGACGGTTAAATGTTGCTATTACGCGGGCCAAGAGGCACGTTGTGATCGTGGGCAATTCGAGCACCATATCAAATGATAAGCTGTTGAACGAGCTGTACGAGACAGTCCTGAATCATGGCAAGGTGTACATGGTGAACGAGTTGCTGGACGTGGAGCAGATGCCCGTGGGGGGGTAGATACAGCTTCATTGGGGAGAGGTAGCCACGTCGTACAGGCGGCCGCGTGGTGGGCCGAAAAACATACCCACGAGCGGTTAACCATTTCGCAGCTTCTGCATCGCGTGACAAAGACATTTTAATATGTGCACATTTTAGAAGTGTGTAGTCTGGACCCACCTAACAGGAGCAGCACTTTTTACGGACCACACTCAAAAGAGCAACTCCTCATCATCGTCGTCTCCATCTGCATTACTTTCGAAGTTGTTAAAGATGAGCTTCCCCCGTTTGACTTGCCCCATCAGGTAGCAATCCCTACTCTTGAACCTTTCCACGAGAAATTTGTTGTTGTCAAATTGGACGTTATCCCAGGATGGGATTTTATCACTAGGGAGCGTATCACCGGTAGGCACTCTGGACCGGAGACAACTTTGAAGATATTTTTTTTCTTCACAGGAGAGTGTGTCTCCATCACATTCATCCGTGTGATCATCATTAGCATGTGGGTTATGCTTTGTTTTAGTTTTTCCTTTTTCCGCCGCTCTCCGTTGGGGCAATTTCATATGTGGTCTGGTTGCCTCGTCTGTGTAGTCTTCATCTGCGTCGCTCTCTTCTGACTCTTCGCCCGAATTGTCCAGCGAAAAAACGGAGAAGGGCGCCTGGACGTAGACATTTTTTTCTTCATTTTCGCATGTGGAAGGTTTCCACGAGTGCCCATTCTCGGATTGTACCTCTTCCTCTTCCCCAACGTCGATGTATCTGTTGTCCTCCCCAAGGGAATTATTTTCCTTTCTTTTAATTTTCATTTTGAAAGATTTTTTCCTTGAAAAAAGCGGAAGCAAACTGGCGTTCTGTTCATCACAACTTCTAATCGACTGTGCCAAAGGCAGATTTGAAAATGATAAGAAGTTTGTTACGAGAAATGTTTTATTTGTTCGCGGACACGTGTTGTCCTTGTGTTGACCATGGGTTGGAATATACTCCGATGTTGTATCTCCTTCGCGTGACCGTTTCGTTTGTGCTTCTCCACCAATGTGTTCCTCCAACAAGGCAGTTCGCCCGTGTCGCATTTTCCATCGTTCCGCGTTGTTATGGCGATTAAGGCCATTATGATGGTCACCGCCGCTTCTGTTCATTTTTCCGAGCCGGTGCAGGTACGTTATCGCATCGGAAGGAAAATGAAAATTAATTATGTGGTCCACATTTTGGGTGTCTATGCCTCTGCTCAACAAATCCGTGGTCACTAAAATGGCAACGTGGGCTTGGTGGAAGCTGTGCAGATTTTGCATCCGTGAATTTATTGATATGTTTTTGTGGAAGCAGAAGACAGGCCAGTTATGTTTTTTTAAAAAAAAATATATCCGGATGCAATCCTTTACGCTGTTAACAAATACGATCGTTTTGTAAACTGCTTTATTATCAATTAGGTGAAACTTCCCCCCTTTTGTTGAACTTGTAAAATTTTTTTTTTTTTTTTTCTTCCCTTCTTCGGGGTTGACAGTTGTATCCTTTTCCGCCTGACCATGTTCAGAAAATTCGTCTTTGTAAAATTCTGAGCTAGCTGACCACGCGTGGTACTTTTTCAAAACGTGGATTAGAAGATCCAGTCTGTGGTCGAAGGAGCTATTCTCCAGTTTGTTGATCTTGCTAGACAGGGCGGCGTCTTTCAGGCTGCCCCCATGGTGAGAGTCGGAACTGCTATGTTGCGCGGTGGAACCGCTATACGGAGTTGAGGCTTCATCATCCTTGGATGCGATGCCCGAGATATCCTTCCCCCTCTGGTGTGTGTCCCGCGCCCCACCGCTAAACAAGTAGTGGCTTAAAATTTTGTCCTTGTTCAATTCTATCCACTGGGTGCGCACGTTTCTCGGGATGTGATAATTCTCCTTGCACACAATTTCGACCAGGTTGCTGAACCGTTCTGTCAGCATACTCCCCGCGGTAGTGTGTCCCACGGAGGGCAGCGTCGAGGTGACGTATATCATCTGGAGTAGCGGCAGCTCTCGCTCTTTTTCCTTCCCCCGGGGGGAACGGTTACAGGCGTTTTTCCCGTTTTCCGCGTTTTTCAGGTGGGAAGCGTTTTTCTGGTGGGTATCCCCAACAGGGTTCCCTCCTTTGATCCCCTCCACAGACGACATGTCCAGGTCTCCAAATTGGTCGCATTCGACGTGGTTGGAAAGGGAGTGAAGTGCACTTGGGAAGGTAGTTAAAACTTGGGGTTGGCCAAGGGGAGCCGTATCCGGCCCGTCGCCCCTTAACGGAGCAGTGTCGAATCCACCGCTCATTAAGGCAGCCTCAATCGAGGTGGCCACATGTTCCAACCCCCCACTGCTAATATCAATATGAGGATTGTAAATCTCAGGCCTCTTCTTAATAATGTAAAAAATGTTCATCAGTGTATTTCTGTAGGCATTATTTTGAAACAGCATATCTACTTCATCGAATATAATTATGGAGGGGAGGATCTGTTTGGTTCTTTCATTTTGGCATGCGTGTAGAAAAATGTCCGGAGTGGTAATCACGATGTCTGCACATGTCCACATAATTTCATCTCTGCACAACACGGGGTTGGAAACTTGGTTGACGCTGACCACGTGTAAATTTTCCACGTGACAGCTGTTCTGTAATTGCATCTCCATCTCCATCTCTTCATGGTGCGATTCTGTGTTGGTTCTTTCATCCATGGTAAAAGGACGCGTGTCCTCATAGGGCACATCATTCAAGGTTTGTATGTTGATTCGGTTAAGTACGTCCAGTTGTTTTATCACTCGCACAATTTGACTTATATTATCTTTATTCACAGTTAGGATAATAACTGGCTTATTAATTTGTAAAGGGTTTCTGGTTAGGTAGCGGTAGATGCACTCGTCATTGTCTGGAGGGGTGTCTACACAGTTGGGTTCTTTTTCTTTCATCTTAAAATTGTACATTAAAATGTTTTCCAATTTGGCTAGCTCTTCTTTATTGACACGGTCACTATTTATGTTGTTCAGATTAATTTTGTTAATTTTAATTACTTCTACAAGTTTGTTCATGAGGCTCACAATCTTTTGCTTCTTTCCTTCCGCATAGCCCCCTTGTCTATTACCAGTTTGTTCCTCATTTGGTGAAAATATGTCTCCTCCCTTTCCATCCCACATTGATGTATTTTTTTTTTTTTTTTTCTTAGTGCGATGCATCCTACCTAGGTGAGGAGAACCCAGCATGGACCCTTCGTCCAGTTCATTAAAATGATTTGGAAGCAAATGAAAATTCTGATTCATCTTCTTCCCTACCTGAGTGACATTATCTTCCAGCAGTACATTCCTTCTGTAGTGACTATACTTGAGGAAATATTTTCTCATTTCATTGTACAAGTCAAAGTTGTTATTAAATTTGAAATTTCCCTGCACGGAGTTTCCGCACCTCTTTTTATTTCCTTCATGATAATTTTCAAGGATCAGCTCCTCCAAGTAGTCATGCACAAAGTATATGTTGTTTAGAAGGGGCAGCAAGTAGGCTATAGTTTTGCCTGACCCGTCTGGGTAATTTATAAGCACATCTTTCCCCTGCTGTATGGTTAAGAAGCTGTTAATTTGCATTTTATTCAATTCTCTTATGTTAAGCTTTTCCAATCCTAGTAATAACATTCGATGTATATTTAATTCGTTCACTTGTTCATAGTTGCCCTCGTATGTCTGTACCTTGTGCGGGTCACTTCCTACCCCCTGGTGGTTGTACTTTTGATACAGTTTTTTTTGTACCCCTTGGTACCTTTTGCGCAGTTCCTCATTTGGCGGGGTACCCTTTTGCCTGTACTTCTCTTTACTGTGTTCACCTTCATAGGGGGGATTCCTTCCCCACATGACTGTCTCATATTTGTTTTCTTCTTCGCCTGGGATGGAAGAACACATGTTACCTTGGCTCAGATGCATCCATTCCTCCGTGTCCTCTCCAGTACCCCTCTCCACACTCTTCATCCATTTCGCCCTCCCTTTAGTTCTCAACATTTTGGCCTGCTGTAAGTAGTGCAACGTGGATGATGCTTTTCCCCATTGGGGGTACCTCCACCGAGATAGCCACTTGGTATTCATATTTATGTCCCTACGACACGTGCTCTGTGTTTCGCTTAGAGGAAGAGTTGTGGTGTGTGTGTGTAGAGGGCTACATGGCCTTTTTTGTGCACCCTCATCTGCGTTGCGGTTATTTCTCACACATTTGGTACAAAGGGGGGGGTGTACTTCAAATTGACTTAGCTAAAAAAAAGGCGCAATCATATTTTCGTTACGAGTCATGCTCGGCATTGACGTCATTTGGTGTTTCGTACACGAATCGGATGTGTGTGGAATCATCCCCACAAGTGTGAAGTTACTTGGGTGGGTTGTTTTGTTTTTTCCCGAGTGGTCATTCCTACTTTGCACGTTCATCCTTTCACCGCGGCGTCATCTGTGTTATAGAGGTGAGCACTTGTATGGTGTAATACTCCCTCGTGCGTACCCACACAAAATGACTTCATTTTTTACCCTTCTTCTTCTACATACGCTTAAATCGCTCCCTTTCGCAACAACAAAAAAAAGGGGAAAGAAAACAGGGAAAAATTGAATGTCAATTTGGTTTTCCTTTTTGGTGAATCAAGTATCGTTCCTATGAACCCGCCCCCAACCCCAAATGTGCTGTGGGAGAGCCTTAGGTGATGTAACGGGCCCGAGAAAAAAAAGGGGCAAACATATATTTATGAACAACTCGCCGTGTTGCATATGTACACATGTTCCACCCTTTGATTCATCTCAAAAAGAGTCTCCTCTCTCATTCAGGTGCCTCCGTCAGCTCTACATTTTATTGCATTTTGCAGTGAACCCTAAATGTAGCCTCTGCTTTTCTTCACCGCGATTGTCGTTCAGAGTGGAGAAATTACTACCACTTCAGAGATAAAAAAAGAAAAAACAAAAAAGGGGAAAAAAAAATAAGAAGGTAAGATAAAAGAGTATAAGGGAGTAGAAGTGAAGCGAACCGAGCGGATGTGAAGCCAAGGGAACACAATGAAAACTCAACAGGATAACGCCCCAAACCGCAAGAAATGATTGGCCGAAATGACTCCACCAAAGCTGCAGAGATAAACCCAAAGGAAGAAAAATAATGGAAGAGAGGGAGAGGTGTAAGATGGTATGTGCTCAGCTGCTGGCTCTTCTGTTCATAGTGATAAATATCAAGTGCGTAATCTCTGTTAGAATACACACTTTTGGGAGCAGGTTAGGTATACAACGCAAGAACAACGACTTCTTCCATGGTGGTGATCGTGACCGTGACCAAGGGAGACGACGGGAAGTCCCCACGTTTGTCAATGTAACTTATAAAAATGGTTTGAAGCGCCCCAGTCGGTACATCTTTGATCGGTTGAGGCATCCTTTGAAGTGCTTGTCACCCCTAGGGGGCAGTTTGCAAAGTGTGCAGGTGAGCACGAAAGAAAGGAAAGGAGACGCCCCCCGCTTAGAAGATTTGAGCATCACACACAGCAGTTCCGTAGCTGTGCTCCAGGATGAAGCTAAAAATGTAGTCAGAGAAAAGAGAGACATTTTAGGCAACGGATTTAAGGAGCGCACAGGGGATCGTCCTATGCTGGATGCAGGAAGGGATGCAGTTAGAGGTGACTCGAAGAAGGATCAAATTAAGCGTGATGGAGGAAGAGAAATTGGCCAAGGGAAGAGCCCCAAGAGGGAAGAGAGGGGGTCTAAGGGAGTGAGTCAGACACACAAAAGGGTAGGAAGTCTGGTCCGTAGGAGCGGAGATCCCTATCGCAAGAAGGGAACCCCGCAGGGTGTCGTGGACATACAGAACACGAATGTGCGGAGCTTTCTGCAGGGCGATGAGGAGAAGCGGTGAGTTTGCCCCATAGTTCTGCTACCATTTTGCATGCCTATTTTGGCCGCACATTGTGGCTGCTCATTTAGCCTACCATTCTTGCCACCGCGCCCACTTACATTCATCGCCCCCATTTTGCAGATCACTGCACCTGCTGAACTACATCTACAAGTCGTGGAAGGAGAAGAACTTTGCCAACTTCGTCACTGCCATAAAGGACGAAGGATTCGATCACACATGTGTAGAAAAATGGCTACATAAAATGTCCATGAGCCTAAATAAAAAATACATACAAATACACCTGAGGAAGGACTACGTGTTGATTAAAAATAAGTATTTCGATCCACGTCAAACGAGGGTGAAAGAATTTCACCTAACTTATGGTGACATTAACAGGTGCCTTGAAATTTTAATAAAAGACATGAGTAAATTTTGTTCATATGAAATGTCTTCCATCCTTTGGGCCATCACAATTATCCTGATAAAGCTATTCAAGAGCTCCAACAGCGTGGACACCAGTGCCTTCGCGGCTAACTCCGAAATTCACACCGTTATAACTACGCTTTTGCAGAACTTTATGAAATTTTTTTCGCTCATTGTTTTGCACTTGAATAGGGTGAAGGGGTACTTGTCCATCGACGAGTCTCTGTGGGTGATCTGGAGTTTGTGCAAGCTGTTGCACTTTAATGTGTTGTGTGCGGGGGGCTCCTCCCCTGCACTTGTCACCTGGGAAGCTGATACCCCTACGGCTGATACCCCTACGGCTGCCACCCCTACGGCTGCCACCCCTACGGCTAATAGTACGGGAATTGGCAGCGGTGCGAATGACTTCCCTGCGGGTGACTTCCCCTCGGGTGACTTCTCATTGGGTGATTTGTCCCCAGCTGGATCTGCTCCGGGAGACCGCGCGCGCGAAGAAGGCCAGTACAGCGCGCACCAAATAGCCTACCTCAAAAACAAGTTCCACCTGACCGAAGAAAGCGTCATACACATATTCGACATATTCAACCACATATACAAGCACCTCCACGGAAACCTACAATTCCTGCAGGAAAAATATTACATCTACATCCCCTTTATCATCTTTGAATCTCAAACATTGCTGTTAACAAGTAGCGTCCTGTTACTAAACAAAATCATGACCATCATTTTGAAGAGAAACGTTTTGCTTTCCCTTTTCAATTTCGACACCCTGAAAAAGCAGCATAGAAAAAGGCTTCTTCAAAGGCAGCATCAAAATAAGACTCTTATCGCCCCCATCCATGAGAGCAAAAATAGCTACTCACAAAATGTGGACATTTTTAAAATTAAAACTTTGAGCAAAGTGTATAAACTGATTAAGTGTATTTCGAAAATATTTTATCCTTTGAAGAATTTTAATATTCGTAATTTAAATTTGCACAATAATTATGGCAACTTGAATGTGGCCGTTTTGGGAGACTTCGTGCGTGCATGTAATGATGTCCTCGTGAAGTATGTCGATTACCTCGTGTTCGTCATTGGTCATGAGAGGGGAGAAGGGTCTGTGCAGGAGGGCAGGTCGAGTAGTTTGGATGAAGCTGTGGAGGGGGAGGACCAACTTTCACCCGTGGAACGCCTCCGTATGGAACATAGGAATGAGCTGATTTTCATTTATAATTGCTTGAAGAGCTCGCTTGTGTCGCTGATAAAGTTGGACCTGAAGGACAAGTACTTGTACGAGTGGCTCAACGGGAATATGCAGCTCTTTCAGTTTGGGCGGCCTCCTGAGCGGGGCCACAAAAGTGGTGGCGCGGCTGTCGTCAACACCCCACTCGGCAATACCTTAACGGATGATACCCCAATGGGTGGCGTCCAAAGTGATAACAGTGTGGACCGCTTCCAAAGCGAGGACCTCCATGGAGAGGCACCCAGCGAGGAGCTCCTGGGAGAGGAAGCATCACTTGTAGACAGCTCCATTTTAGGAGAGATCAACTCCCATCACCCTTCATATGGCGAAACCCAAATGGGATATAGTAACGCCCACTTTACGAAAGGAGAAAAGGACAAAATAAACCCATTGGTCGTAAGTGAACTTGTGGATGTTAATATGAATGATGAGCACACGATGGAAGAACCCGCTCCAAGTGGAAGCGGCCCGTCAGATGCGAAAGTGAACTCCAATGATGTATGTCTAGATGTGTTGGCGCTAAGCAAATTCACAAAATTGTATAGCACTGAAATGAAGAGGAAACTGATAGAAAATGTGAAGCGCAGTATTGCGGACTCGCTGAAGCAATTTGAGGACCTCTACCGGAGTAGCGACACCGACCAGGTGCACTACCCGACATACGTGTCCATTAACGATATATACATCATACAGGAAAAGCGAATAGAAGAACTATATGATGAGGAGACAAAGACTTTTTACAAAAAAAACAAAAGTGTAAACTTTAGGAATATCATAATGCCAAAACAGCTAGCTATTTATGTTAATTATATAGGAAGAAATATGAACTTGGTTGAAACGAAAAAACAGCTAGATGAAATTTTCTTCCTCTCTGTAATGTATATCAATACTACTAGGTTTAACTACTGTACCTCCAATGATATAATTCACTTCCTGCAAGGGCTATTAAATTATTACGAGTTGGAGAGGAAAGGCATGAATGCTTTATCTGAACAAGTGAACAGAATGTTAATACTGCTGTGTACCATTGTGGAAAACTCATTTTTGAAATGGAAGTCCTCAAATATATGCCAGCTCATTTATTTGCTAACAAAATACAAGCATATACACAGGAACATTTTTAATAAGTTCGACTGGCTGCTGAACACCATTGAGTTCCCTCGCTACGTGTATCAGAAGGCTCAGATAGACGTTCCTGCCGGGGGGTGCGACGCGGGTGCTGATGACCATCTTGGGGCGGGCAACGTTGCTGAGATCGTTACTTCTAACAGTAACGCTGCCGATTTCGTTGCTTCTAACAGTAACGCGGCTCCATTGGACACTTCTAACAGTAACGATGTGCAGTTGGCTACTTGTAACATTAACGCGGCTCAGTTGGACACTTCTAACAGTAACGCGGCTCAGTTGGACACTTCTAACAGTAACGATATGGTGTCCACGCCCCGCGCGCGCCGCACCGAGCGAACGAGCAAGCCGACGCGCATTAGCATAAACGAGATCAAGTACGACAACCTGGGCTCGGCGTTGTGGGCCATGACTTCCCTCAGCAAACACGTAATTAAAAAGAAATTTTTCCTAAAATTTTGCTACCTCTTTTCAGTGTACATTTCTCTTCACATGAAATTATACTTAAATCACAACCAGCCACATGGATACGGCACAAATCCTTTTGTTACATCCACTGAGCAAAAAGGGAAAGGAAAAGAGATACTTCAAAATGATGATCAGTTCTTACGACACAATGCGAGTTATTTTAAGTTGCCCTTGGATACAATGACTATTAGTATTTACGTGAACACCTTTGCAAGGAAAATAAAAATTGGGTTCAAACATTTGTTCGATGTTATTCAGAATGATGTGCGCGTTGTCTCCAATTTTTCTCTCAAGGAACTTTCATACATCATGTACTCGCTGGCTAATGTGGATAGCAATGCCTTGGGGGACAGCGTCTTCCATGCTGAACCCGGTTGTCACGACGGGGGTGATGCCAAGGAGGAGAATAAACGCCGCTTTGAGCAATTCTTGCACGGGTGCAGCGCCCTGTGGGTGGACGAGCTGGACGGCATGTTTGACACGGAGCAGGAGTTACCCCCCAAGGAGGTAAGCAGCCAAGAGGGGCAGCCAACCTCTAACGAGGCACACCACGTGCAGGACGAAGCGGCAGCGAACCAGACGCCCCGTGTTGAAGACAACGGTAGTGACAGCGGCAATGGCAACCACCCTGAGAAGGGGAGAAGCAAAACGATTGTGCTGAAGAAAAACTTCTTAAACTTTAAAAGAGAAAGAATAGAAATTTCGAGCGAGTTTTTAAACAGCCTGATGGAGAAAGTATACAACTGCGCATCAGCCATTTTGCAAAAAAAAAAAAAGTACCTACAAGAAGCGATCTCTGATGACACACTCTACATGAGTAATGCGAATAAAAAAAAAAAAATTGAAATAATTGACCTGATGAAATTAGTGTATAGCATTTTTGTCTTCCTAAATCAAAGGATACAAGTTGGTCGAGTCGATGATATTAAGTTTGGCCTGGGTGAAGAACTTATTCGCCTGTACAGCCTCATCGTTAAGAGATTCCCCAGCACGCTCAATTATATTTACGTCATCATTGACACCTACGCCCTTATAAGCAATATATACACCCTGGACGCCTTCACGAGGGGTATTATAAAGGTGCGTTCGCGCGTTGAATTGGATAGAGGGTTATTGAACCGTCTTAATGTGACATCTCCACTGGAGAGTGCTCTTCTGTGCCCCCGCCATGTCTGCCAGCACACATATCCTCTCCCCCCCCCCCCCCCCTGCAGGAATTCGTTCAAATTTGCGTAAAAAAAGTTGAAGAAGAGAAGATGTTGGATCTGGAGAAGAAAAAAATTATGTTGAGTGTTCAAAATTTGAAGGCGACAAATTGAGGTACGGGCAGCGGTCATGCGTCGCAGTCAGCACACCGCAATGAACCCCTTGCAATTTTCTTCTTTTTATTCTCTCTTCCGTCTTACACATGGAATGTGCGCACAATTGTGCGTTCTTTTTTTTTTTTTTTTTTTTTTTTTGTACCACTTTTTTGTCACCATGTTTGATGTTTTTGTCCCATTTTGTTTCGTTTCGTCTCGGCCCATCTCGTCTCGGCCCATCTCGTCTCGGCCCATCTCGTCTCGGCCCATTTCGCCCCGTCCCGTCGCATCACGTCCCGTCGCATCACGTCCCGTCCCTGTTGCTGCACGGGAACCTATTTTGCTAATCCAAAAAAAAGGAACCGGCTGGGGTCGAGACCAAAGTTGAGAATCACCATTTGGGGATGCGCGCCTTGTTGCGTATTGTTACAACACATATGATTGTGTTAAATGTCTTTTCCCCTACTTCACGTGCCACACGTTCAGCGCGCTACACTTGGTACATTTTATATTTCCCCTGTTTAAAAACAGCAACACTTTCTTGAGCCCATCCTTGTTTGCAAAATCATTCTTTTGTTTGTTAACACCACAGAATCCATTACCATAAATTTGCCTGTACAGATTGTCCACCACTTGGGGTCCCGGACCTGTCCTGCTGTCGCGCCCTTTACTTAGTTCATTCATGGCATAATATTTTTTGGCGTACTCAGGGTATATTTTTTTGAATACCAAGTCGCATGCTTCCTTGAGGTAAATAAAATTGTTGCACTTGCTGCACACAAATTTGCAGAGCTCCCTGTTCATTCGTGTCATCTGCCGTATGTGGGGGGGTCGGAGGTGCAGGGAGGCAGAGTAGATGCCAACTCGATTCGGAATCTCTTCTATTCACCCAACGGTTTTATCGCTGCGTCGCTCATCCGTTCTTCACTGCTTCATAACTTTAAACCCTCTTTTGCTTCCTCATTTTTTTTATTTTTTTGTTTTTGGGCATAACAATTTGCACAGCTCGTTCAAGGCTTTGTACACCCTGTTCTCACACCCTACAGCGGACCTTAAAGTGCAACAAAAAAAAAAAAAAAAAAAAAAGATGCCCAATTTGGGTGCCCAGATGCAAGTGCGCACACCTTGTGCTGACAGCTGATTGGTAACTGTTCTTGTGGGTTAGAAGGATTTCGACTTTATTGTTTTTTTTTTTTTTTTTTCCCCGCATCAGGGGTTTATCTCCTCATGGGGGATACAAGTGCATCTTTTTTGCTGGTTGCATTTTAAGAGAGGACAAAAAAAAAAAACAGCAGCGTGGAAGGGATATGCTGTGCGAATAAAACTACACAGAATTGCCAGCGCGCCCCGCCCACTGCCACACGGCAGCCACTGTTGCTGCTGTTGCTACGACTTTGTATGTCCCGTTCGGTCATTCCCCAAGGCGCGTAGCTCCATGTGGGGTGTGATGTTTAGTATGCCTCTGCCCTCTGTCCCACCCCAACTGAAGTGTGTCAACAGGTTATTATGAAAAGTCTTACCCCATGAAAAAAAGCAAAAATGCAGATGCCAAAAAAAAAAAAAAAAAAAAATACGAATGTAAGAGTGACGAAGCAGATTGAACATGCGTGTACCATTTTGGGTAGCATGTTCACTGGTATGTTTCATGTGGCTAATGGCAAGCGGCGCAAAGAGGAAGAAACAGCTCTTCATTGGGTCATCCAGTAACATTCTTAACAATGTAAGACGGGGAAAATATAAGTGTGTAGATAAAAGAAAGGGATATCGCATTTTTGGAATTCCACGCATGTACAAATGGCTGACTTCATACTACCCCACAGTAAGAGAAGAGTTAATCACTAATGAAGGGCAGAAGGCAGTCGATATTTTTTATGTCGATATGAATGGAGTGATACATCATTGCACACATGCGAACAAGGAGACACTACCTGTCCATGATGAACACGAATTGCTGTCAAATATTTTGAAGTACTTGAAGAATCTCTTTCATTTAGTGAAACCCAGGAAGTTAGTTTATGTTGGGGTCGATGGGGTGTCCCCTAAGGCGAAGATGAATCAACAAAGGAAGAGACGCTTCCTTAGCTTGTTTAAGGTAACCGATAATTCTAACGGGGCTAATTTGTTCAACCCTAATTGTATCACCACCGGCACAGATTTCATGTACAAGATTAACCTCGCCCTGAACAAGTGGTTTCAGATTTTGAAGAAGAAGGAGATTTTCCCCTTCGACGTGATTTTCTCCGGGTCGGATGTGCCCGGGGAGGGAGAGCACAAAATTTTGAAGTTCATTCGGGAGGTAGGCTCGGCGTCCACATGGCATTGCGGAGCGAAATAATGGGTTCAGCGAAAAAAAACCTGCCCGCAGTGCATTTCGTCCTGTTGCTACGTTGCGTGTTGTTGGTGCACACTGGGCCACGATACAGCGATGAAGCCATTACCGTGTCACTACATTGTGCTTGCCCATTTCACCTCCTTCTCCCCCGCAGAACTGCAAGCGCGATGGCGCCTTCCGGAATTACAGCCACTGCATCTACGGACTGGACGCGGACCTCATCATGCTGTCCCTCGTCACGCACCTTAACAATATCTTCATTTTGAGGGACAAGTTCAAAATGACCAACGACTCGCACTCCACGCTGCTTGAGAATTTCGAGAAGGCGCAGCGGGGGGTTAGCGACCCCAGGGATGTGGAGGGCACCAATGAGGGGGAAAACGCGGCGGATACCACTCAGGCTGGAAATGGGGAGCATACCAATGAGGGGCAAAATGCGGAGGAGACCATTCAGGGGGGAAACCCCTTCTGCAGAGTCCACCACTACACACAAGAATACTACACCAACTGCGAACCACTCAACAGTTACGACTTCGAAATACTAGATGTGTACAAACTACGAAACTCGATCCGAACCCAAATAGCAACTTACATAAATAAATTAAAAAAAGAAAAAAACGTTATCTTCAATATCAGTCGAGTAGTGGACGACATTGTCTTCTTATCCTTCCTAGTAGGAAACGATTTCCTCCCCCACATACCAAACATTGACATTAATGAAGGCTCCATGAATGAAATTCTTAATGCTTATATATACTACATATACAGATATAACAATTATATAACGCTTAAGGACAAGGTACACATACAGAGGCTCAAGATTATCCTGAAGATTTTAAGTGCGCAAGAATTCTCGTATTTTTTAAAAAGAGGAAATGAGGAAAATGTTCGTGAGTTCACTGATGAGCGTAGGTACAAGAGTTATTATTATTTGCACAAGTTCGGCGTGGAGGACCCCAAGCAGATCCAGCACATTGTGAACAAGTACATCGAGGGCCTCTTTTGGAACCTGCATTACTACCACTTCGGCTGCGCCAGTTGGTGTTGGTAAGTGTCGCGCGGATCATTCAAGAAACGAAAAAAGAATGTGCAAAAAAGGTTAATTTTTTTTTTTTTTTTTTTTTTCTTTGCAGGGAGTACCCCTACCACTACGCGCCCTTGTGTAGCGATTTGCTATCATTTGAGAAGTCCGATTTTTTTTTCGAAAAGGTAGGGGCGGCAATTGGCGTAACTTTTTCGTGGTTGTACACACAAGTGGGGGTTGTCCGTATTTATACCTGTATATACATAATGTGCAAGCGTGGGTGTCGTCGTCCGCCCTTATAACCCACACTTGTACCGCTGTCTTCACCACTTTCTCCCCCCACAGGGAAAGCCCTATTCGGCCTACACACACCTCATCAGCGTGCTGCCGCAGAAGGACAACAACCTCCTGCCAGAGGCATACAAGTGAGTCCATCGGGGCGCACCCATTCAGCGTGGCGCAACATGTGCTCACATGCGCCGCTCGAATACACACCCAAATGATGCTCCACTACGAGCATACACACGAACATACATATGCCCATGCACATACCCATGCCCTGTTCACTTGGCCCGCCCACGTAGAAATATTTACTCCGAAGAAGAGGTGAAGTCCTTCTTCCCTGAGAACGTTCGAATCGATCCCAATGGAAAAAAGTACGTGTTGGGGGGAAGGGGGCCATTGACTGGTATCCCCCCTGAGCCCAGCGCCCGATCGGGTTGATTTATTTGTGAAGTCCCTGCATCATCCTTATGGTCACTTTTATTATTTTTTTTTTTTTTTCCACCGCGCAGAGAAACGTGGGAGTACATCGTGCACCTCCCCTTCATAAACTGCAACACGATAAACAAGATAATTACGGAGCGCAGTAAAAAGATTTCCAAGCTCAAATACAAGTTGAGGTAAG